GTTTCTTTTTTTATTTTCCATCTCAAGCACAAAGTCCAGCAGTGGTTTCCAAGTGAAAAGCACAATGGCAACAACACACAAACTCAATGTTTTATTTTTACATAGTAATATTTACTAGCCTTTTCTATAGCAATAATCTAATCAGCAAAACACAAATTCCCAGTTTCTTTTTATTTTCCATCTCAAGCACAAAGTCCAGCAGTGGTTTCCAAGTAAAAAGCACAATTGCAACACAGAATCTCAATGTTTTGTTTCTACATAGTAATATATAGTGGTCTTTTCTATAGTAATAAACTTATCTAATCAGCAAAACACAAATTCGAAGTTTCTTTTTTTCCCCACCTCAAGCACAAAGTCCAGCAGTGGTTTCCAAGTGAAAAGCACATTTGCAACAACACGCAAACTCAATGTTTTTTTTTTACACAGTAATATATAGTGGCCTGTTCTACAGCCACAAATTTATCTAATCAGCAAAACACAAATTTGAAGTTTCTTTTTTTATTTTCCATCTCAAGCACAAAGTTTAGCAGTGGTTTCCAAGTGAAAAGCACAATTGCAACAACACACAAACTCAATGTTTTGTTTTTACATAGTAATATTTACTAGCCTTTTCTATAGCAATAATCTAATCAGCAAAACACAAATTCCCAGTTTCTTTTTATTTTTCATCTCAAGCACAAAGTCCAGCAGTGGCTTCCAAGTTAAAAGCACAATTACAACACAGAATCTCAATGTTTTGTTTCTACATAGTAATATATAGTGGTATTTTCTATAGTAACAAACTTATGTAATGAGCAAAACACAAATTCGAAGTTTCTTTTTTTCCCCACCTCAAGCACAAAGTCCAGCAGTGGTTTCCAAGTTAAAAGCACAATTGCAACAACACAGAATTGCAATGTTTTGTTTTTATATCGTAATATTTACTAGCCTTTTCTATAGCAACAAACTTATCTAATCAGCAAAACACAAATTCCCAGTTTCATTTTTTTTTTCACCTCAAGCACAAAGTCCAGCAGTGGTTTCCAAGTAAAAAGCACAATTGCAACACAGACTCTCAATGTTTTGTTTCTACATAGTAATATATAGTGGTCTTTTCTATAGTAACAAACTTATCTAATCAGCAAAACATACATTCCAAGTTTCTTTTTTTATTTTCCATCTCAAGCACAAAGTCCAGCAGTGGCTTCCAAGTGAAAAGCACAATGGCAACAACACACAAACTCAGTGTTTTGTTTTTACAGAGTAATATTTACTAGCCTTTTCTGTAGCAACAAACGTATCTAATCAGCAAAACACACATTCCCAGTTTCTTTTTTTTCCCACCTCAAGCACAAAGTCCAGCAGTGGTTTCCAAGTAAAAAGCACAATTGCAACACAGACTCTCAATGTTTTGTTTCTACATAGTAATATATAGTGGTCTTTTCTATAGTAACAAACGTATCTAATGAGCAAAACACAAATTCGAATTTTCTTTTTTTCCCCACCTCAAGCACAAAGTCCAGCAGTGGTTTCCAAGTGAAAAGCATAATTGCAACAATACACAAACTCAATGTTTTGTTTTTACACAGTAATATATAGTGGCCTGTTCTACAGCAACAAACTTACCTAATCAGCAAAACACAATTTCTTTTTTTTCCCCACCTCATGCACAAAGTCCAGCAGTGGTTTCCAAGTTAAAAGCAAAATTACATCTATATTTTTCCCCCCTTTAATTAAAGCGGTCAACTTAGCCGCCTTTCCTAATTCCATCAGCTTTTGCAACTAGTCCTGCAGGGTGGGAACTAAAATATCTTTCCTTTTTTTTTTTGTCTGCCGCTAGTCCTCAACGTACGACATTAATTAGTGACCGATTGAAGTTACAACGGCAGTGACAAACAAATGACCCAGGACCATTGTTCCACAACTTACGACCGTGGCAAGCGTCCCTGCGATCGCGTGGTCAACATTCGGACGCTTGGCAACTGACTTGTACTTATGACGGCTTGGCCTTTTGCAACCCTTTGCTTATGCGCTTCCCGGCCAGCATCGTTTCAGTTGTGACTTTTTTCTGTTGTAAGGACTTTCCTTCAAATAATGGACGTCCAGTTTCATGAAAAGAAGGCGGGGGGGGGAGGACACACATGATAGCAGTCTTCCAATCTTTGAGGGGCTGCCCCGCCAAAAGAGGGGGGTTCCATCTATTCTCCAAAGCGCCTGAAAGCAGGAGAAGAAGCAAAGGATGGAAACTCATCAAGGAGAGAAGCAGCCTGGAATTAAGGAGAAATTTCCTGACAGTTAGAACAATTAACCAATGGAACTACTTGCCACTAGAAGCTGTGGGTGCTTTCATCACTGGAGGTTTTGAAGAAGAGACTGGACAACCATTTGTCTGGAATGGTACTATAGGGTCTCCTGCTTGAGCAGGGGGTTGGACTAGATGACCTCCAAGATCCCTTCCAGTTCTGTTATTCCATGATTCTGTCAGGGTCTCCTGCTTGAAGCAGGGGGCTGGACTAGATGACCTCCAGGGTCCCTTCCAACCCTGTTATTCTGCTATTTGGTAGTGGTGGTGGAGGAGGAGGAGGAGGAGGAGAAAGGTTTCCCGCCTGAGCACAGGGATGGACTAGATGACCTCCAAGGTCCCTTCCAACTCTGTTATTCTGTAAGGGTCTCCTGCTTTAGCAC